CCACATGCACCAGGAGGAGGAAGCCGAAGACGTCATTGACTTACCGGAGCTTCAAGAGGGGGAACGGTTACTTGCGCTCGACTGGGAAGGTTTCCTACACGGCGGAACATCTATGTGCCACTTCGACACACTCGTCTGCTATCGCACAAGAAGAGGCTAAGCTCAAGAAGGAACAAACCTTCCAAGAGCGCGTGCCTTCGCTCTACCACAACCTCCGCGACCTCTTTGACAAGGAGGACTTTGACAAGCTCCCACCACAGACCAAATGGAGTCATGTCATTGAGCTCATTCAAGGCGCACGTCCGGTTGACTGCAAAGTCTACCCTCTTACACTTGCGGAACAAGACGAACTACGCAAGTTCATCGAGGAGAACCTCAAGTCTGGCCGCATCTGCCCGTCCAAATATCCCATGGCCTCTCCCTTCTTCTTCATCAAAAAGAAGGATGGCAATCTACACCCTGTTCAGGACTACCGCAAGCTCAACGAGATGACTATGAAGAATTGCTACCCGTTACCGCTCATCCAAGAGCTTCTTGACAAGCTCAAGGGAGCCCGCTACTTCACCAAGTTGGACGTTCGCTGGGGTTACAACAACGTGCGCATTAAGGAGGGCGACGAGTGGAAAGCCGCCTTCCGCACCAATATGGGTCTCTTTGAACCAACCGTCATGTTCTTTGGCCTCACCAACTTGCCCGCCATGTTCCAGACTATGATGAACGAGCTCTTCCGCGATCTCATCCATAAAGGCGTCGTCATTGTCTATCTCAACGACATTCTCATCTTCACCAAGACACTAGAAGAACATCAGCGCGTCACACGCGAGGTTTTACGCATACTACGGGAGAACAAGCTTTATCTCAAGCAAACCAAGAAGTGCGAGTTCGAGCAAACCAAAATCGAATACCTTGGCATGATCGTTGAGGAGGGACACGTTTGCATGGATCCTGCCAAGGTCAAGGCTGTCGCTAAGTGGGCTGTCCCCACGCGCAAAAAGGAGCTACAGTCATTCCTAGGCTTCTGTAACTTCTACCGCCGCTTCATCAAGGACTTCAGCCACGTCGCTTGCCTGCTCTATCGCCTTACCAGAGATGTCCCTTGGAAATGGGGTGTTGAACAACAGCTCGCCTTTGAGGAACTCAAGCTTTGCGTCACATCTGAGCCTGTGCTTGTCATTCCTGTGGACGACTCCCCATTCTGAGTTAAGGCCAATGCCTCAGACTTTGTGATGGGTGCAGTGCTCTCGCAGAAGGCCACAGACGGCAAATGGCACCTGGTCGCGTATTTCTCTAAATCACTCAGTGAAGCAGAGCGCAACTATGAGATCTACGACAAGGAGCTTCTGGCCATCATGCTTGCGCTTGAAGAATGGCGACAGTACCTTCTGGGCGCCCGTCATACATTCGAAATCTGGTTGGATCACCAGAATCTCACATACTTCCGTGAAGCTCGCCGCCTCAATCGCCGCCAAGCTTGCTGGTTCACCGAGATGCAGGAGTACGACTTTACACTCCACCACAAGCCTGGCAGCCTCATGGATCGTCCTGATGCGCTTTCACGTGAAGCAGGACATGAAAGAGGGGAGGACAACAGCCAGGACATTGTCCTGCTCAAACCCGAGTTTTTCCGTGTCCTGCTTCGCGCTACAGCACTCGATTTTGCTGGCGAAGATGAGCCCACAATACACCGGATTAAGGACTATGCTATTGAACACGAGGAATCTGTCGAATTGGCCCTGCTCACCAAGAATCCATGCTGGAAGGAGCACGCAGACGGCCTACTCACGCACGACAACTGCATCTATGTGCCGCCTAACAAAGCCTTACGCGCGGATATCATTAAAGCGCACCATGACTTGCTCGCTGCAGGACACCCAGGATGCTACAAGACAGAAGAGCTTATCACACGGACGTATTGGCGGCCCAGCATTGGGAAGGACGTAGGATGCTATGTGGCAAGATGCCAGCTCTGCCAGCTCATCAAATACCGACGAGAAAGCCCTCACGCACCGCTCCAACCCAACAAGACGCCTACTTGCCCATTCAAAGTCATCTCCATGGACTTTGTGGGCCCGTTACCGGAATGCGAAGGCTTCAACATGATACTCAACGTCAACGACCACTTTAGCCGACACGTTATCTGTATTCTCTGCAGAGATACCACAGACTCAGGCCAGCTTGCCCAACTCTTCCATGATCACGTCTACAGTGAGCACGGCCTACCGTGCAAGATCATCACCAACCGTGGCTCTACCTTCGTCTCCTCGTTCACACGCGCTCCCATGGACCAACTTGGCATTGTCGGGAACCCCTCAATGGCATATCATCCACAGACCAATGGACTCACCGAGCATTACGACCAAGAGCTCAAAACCTTCTCCGCCTCTACGTGGACTACCACCAGAGCGACTAGGTGAAGTACCTCAAATCGGCGCAGTTTTTGTATAACAACACAGTCCATTCCTCGCACCACGAGACACCATTCTATGCCTCTGAGGAACGCCACCCATATAGTGGACTCAATTCCCGCGCTACAGACCACGTACCCGCCGCCACGTCATACGCGCAGCATTTCAAGAAGGTTCATGAGGAGATTGTGTCCGCACTACGTCAGGCTAAGGACTCCATGAAGGAGGTTTACGATCGACATCACCAGGACGCTCACAACTACGAGGTTGGTGACCAGGTGTGGCTTGAAGCGACCAATCTCAAGTCTAAATGTCCTTTGCCCGCACTCAATGAACGGTGTCATGGCCCATTCAAGATTCTCGAGAACATCGGCGTATCTGCATACTGTCTTGACATCCCTCCGACATGGAAGACACACAATGTGTTCAACGAGGCTCTTCTTACGCCCTACACCCCGCCCGCCTTTGCGAACCAAGCCAACCCGCCAGAGCCCCCACCTGAAATGATCGATTGCAAAGAGCAATACAAGGTTGAGGCCGTTATCAACTCCAAGATCATCAGCCGAGGCGCACACCGGAGCATGATGTACTTGGTCAAGTGGAAGGGATACTCCGACCGCCACAACAGTTGGGAGCCCGTCGCCAACTTGATGCAGGACGCCGACGAAGCAATTGACGATTACCACAAGGCACATCCGCGACGTATGTGTGTCTAGTTGTGGGCGACTAGCCTGAAGGGAGGGTGATGTTACGGACACCCGATCATTCATTATTATTTTCCTTTTCTTTTCCTTTTCCGGACTCTTACATTGTCGTACAAACTTCATGAAACTTTGAAGTTGGCAACTTTGTAGCCATACCATGAGCTCTAGCCAGGGTTAGTAATAGCTGTGAATATATTTCAATTTTTGGAATTATCCGGATTCGTACCGGAAAGGTTTAGCTGGAATGAGAATTGGCAGCCTGATTGAGCACAATTGACACAGAATCTGGTATCTACAAGATTAGAACCCATGTGAGGGGAGCCTTGGCATTGTGTGCTAACCATTTAGCCACTAGAAATCTCGTATAAAGCCAGACCATATGCTATGGTTAGCCCACCATTTGAAATACACAGTGATCAAGCAAAGTGCCAGTGCGCAGACAACAGGAACAGTAAGAATTATGTCTTGATGGAAGCCCAGCCCCACTATCCACGGCACGGCAGAAGCAGATGACCGTTCACCCAGCAAGACACAGGTGAAACGGTCATCTGCTTCAACATGCTACCGGTAGCATAATTTGAATCATTTGTGCTAGGGGTCCCGCAGCATGCCCAACAAAGGGAGGAGTAATTTTGTCGCTAATACAAAACACTAACTAGACTATTCCCACTCTCCTTCTAGACATACCCGTCTACGGTATAAGAGAACCCATGAAGATCGGACACCATAGGGTGCAAACGTAAAGGTGCAGGCAGTCTCCATAACTAACCATGAGACATGTGATTCATGAAAGAGTTCGTGAGCCTAGGTAACTATTCCCGACGAAGGCTGGAAGCGAAATAGAAGTGGATGTTCCCATTCAAGAAGTCTTGATTCAGAAGAAGCAAAGAATGAAAGTCTAATAAGCGCAGAGGCTTGCTGACATGGCATTGAGTAACCAATGATGATGCCCTAAAGAAGCGTCCAGGTGCAATGCCACGATGCGCCCTGTTAATAGGTGTGTACCATGGTCGCAAGATAGTTGGTGTCTGCCCCTTTATCCTGCCAACCATGAGTGACTCCTCTACCAGTGGCGAGCACTTGCTTTGCTCCATGCTCTACTCACCGTTCCAGACGCCCTCCGTTCATTCTTACAACTCGCTCAGCTCAGCACCCTCTCCGGTACCGGCCTGGGTCGTTCATCTCAGTCCTAGCGTCTCAAGCGCCATGGGCGTAGCTACGGTTCCCGTTAACACTGAACTGCCCGTGCCCACTGAACAGGTGTCACCTCCGGCCCCAGCTCTGCGCCACCTGCTTCTGCCAAAGCCCACGCGTGTTTCTACTCCGTTCCCAGCAACATTGTCAGTACTGCCAGGGCTGAACTTTCCGCACTCTATTCCTTACAACGTGGCTGACATGGAGCATTTCCATCTATCATGACAACTACGGCCACCGCCAAAGCATTACCTGGATGCTCACAGACATCGGCAAGGTTCCCATCAATTACGGCATTATGGTTGCCCATCACATCCGCCCCGGCCTGGAGTGCTATGCGGAGGTGGGATCCTTCATAGCCTGTGGAAACATGGAGGCGCTGTTCAGGATGAAGCTGGTTGGATGGCAGACACCGGAGGGCTGGCATGAGTTCGCAGGAGGCCTAATGCTACCAGTCTACCTTCTGGCACCGCTCCCCCACTGCGCCAAGTCATTCTCCGATGAAGAGTGGGAGTACCTTGCTTGCCCGTACGCACGTATCTAGCACACCCAGGAGACGGCCCAGTGCATCCACACCTTCGTTGGTGGTAATCACAGCATTCCCCTTCCACACCACAACTTTGTCACGGCATCATTTCTCTCCGCATTCAAGTGTTTCCCTCTCCTGAAGCTCTTCAGCCCTGGCATTGCAGCAGGACTTACGGTTAGTGTATACCAAGGGTGTGAGCATCCCGCACGGGTGAAGATGCGGGTGTGGGATGGGTGAGGGTGGCGGGTAGCCCTGGATGTACCCAGAGTGAGTGGCAGGTGGGTGGCGGGTATGAACAATAATTGTGGGAACAATAAGACGTGTTGTGTCGTGCCCTGCGCGCAGTGGCATTGTCCCGAACGTCCATTGTTTCTGAAACATGCTACCCTCAAGCCCGACTCCTGCAGTCACCCAGTATCTTGACATGTACCCGTAGATATGCAATAAAATGTCTGTTCTCTTTCGTCTGCATGGGTATAAGAGCACCCGGCCCCTACTGGCAGTGCCCAATAACTTCGAATATTGCACCCGGTATCGCAACCATGGCCGGCATGACTACCTCTACGACCCCCTCCAAGCGCAAGGCAGATGGTCCGCATCGCTCTTCACCCCCTGCCACCCGTGCTAGAGTGTCTGGCTCAACCCGCAGCTCGACTAGCTCAAGCTCGCGCACCAACTCGGCTTCAGACTTGGACTCGGATATAGATATTAACAGCAACGGTCGCTCAAGCTCACCTCTCACTATTCCCGACTTGCCGCAGGCTTCGGCTGGGTCTGTCATAGATGTGGATGACGAAGATGAAGTAGAAGAGGACTCAGATATCATTCAGGCAAAGCGAGCCCTAGGTATGTCAGTCATCCAAGCCTGTCAGTCTATCTTGCTTATATGAACTGTCAGGAACTATCCATTTCTTTTCCTTTTCGACCCGTGTCTGCCTGCATGTGACCGGGTATCTCATGTGACCGTGTTTGACCCGTGATCCTTTGGCTTATATCATTACTATGACTACGTCGGCCCGCTTACATAGTACTTATGACTCTGAGACACGGATATCCCTTGTTTTACTACGATACGATTACTACGACTCAAATCCCATTCGCTAGAACGGACTGACCCACATTGCCGACCCACTCTCTTTATTTGCGACTGTTTACGACTCATGCATGTATATAAGCTTGTTAGCCAGGCCTGTACGCTTTTCCTTAGAGATATCAACCTTTGTTAACTCTCCAGACCTGTGTGAACACACCTGCTTACCCAATAAGCTTGCCTGTCTAACCTCACACCCCCATCTGTGGCTAATATGAACCCACAGAGCACTCGAAGAAGACCTGGGTCTCCCCTGTCTATGGCTTTTATGACGCCAACATCATCATCGGAAAGGAGAAGGGCAAAATATACCACGGGTTTTGCTGCCTCGGCCGAAGCTGTGTGCTCGCACCAATCAAGCATTTCTAGCACACTCAAGATCACTCGTCCACGAAGAACCTACGCACCCACATCAAAGTCTGCAAGAGCTAGGGCGAAGATGTTCTGAAACAGGCTGATAAACTTTCATCTGGCGACATCGCTACCACTCACAAGGCTCTCTCAGCTTGGGTGCCCTCTAGCCCACTTGTGGATACCTTTGGGTCATTCACTCGGAAGAATGCCGGTAAGCGTTCGTATTCAACATTACCCTTGACCAAGGATGAGATGCGGTGAGTTCATATTGGCTATGAAGCACTTCATAAGGCCGATCTCGTCCCTAGTGCGGAGTGTGTCCGCTGGATCGTCAAAAAGAAGTGTCCCTTCGACATCGTCGCAGATGATCCTTTCCAGTCAATTATGAAGGCTGGTCGTCCTTCGCTCTGGATTCCCTCCCCATCCACTCTCCATCGCGATACACTGGAGTGCTTCAAATGGGGTCGCCGGGCTGTCTCTAGTAAGCTCAAGGTCCACTTTGGTCTATGTTTATTTTTGAATCTATGTGGCTGAACTTTTGATCAGGCTTTACCTACACGTCTGAACTATGGCTCAGATGAATGGACATCACCGAATCATCGCGCGCTCATGGCCATGAGTGTATGCTACGAGAAGGAGAGCAATACAGTTGAACATCTTCTGGATGTTGTCCATGTGCCGTATTCTCACACAGGCGTCAATCTGTCAAAGGCCTTCATCAAGTCTACCGACGGCATGCAAATCACCGATAAGGTTCGTACCTCGAATAGCTTTCTCATGACCTCCACAAGCTGATCGCACTTGGATAGATAAATGGTCTTACAACTGACAGCGCAAATAACGACACAATGGTCGATGACATGGGAGCTCGAGTGGAGTCGTTCGACGGTGAAGATGCTCACGGTAAATGTTTTGGGCACGTCGCGAACCTCGGTGCTCGATCTGTGACGTCGCTCTTCGCTACGCCGAAGAAGAAGAAGGCTGATGCAGTCACACTTGCCGAACAAGCTCTTTTTGAACTCACTGAACAGCTGGAGGATGATGATTATCTTGAGTTTGGCTTGGACACCGAGGATATTGATAACCTCGAGGGCTGGATCAATGAGCGAGATGAGATGAGCGACGAGGCTTGTGTCGAGCTTGAGGCTAGTGTCCTGCCTTCTAGACAGTCATCGTCAAGGTACGTCCATCTAGCCAATTCCACACTTCCTGATTACCATCTGATATTTGATCTGCATCAGCTCCGCAAGGTCACGTTCAAATTGATCAACTTGTCAACAATCCTGTTGCCTGCATGGAAGTACTGCTGCACAAAATACGGCCTTGATATCTGCATGATGCCCCGTGATGTCTCTACACGCTGGGATTTGCTCTATCTCCTTCTCGAGTTTGCCTTGAAGTACCGCAAAGCAGTAACCCGACTCATCCCTAAGTTTCCTAGCGAGCTTGGCGATGCATCACTCGATGACGATGCATGGGAGACCATCTCCCAGTTATGGGGTGTTCTCAAGGTACGTATTATCTCTTATAGAGCCATCTGTGTCAGCTGCTGATTCACATTCAGATCTTCCGAAGTGCTACATTGTTTTACTCCCATGAGGACCGGACGGCGACAATGGCTACTGTTCTTCCTCATCTCGATGCCCTTGAAGCTCAACTGGCGAAGGATGCAGCAAACCATAAACTCAAACCTGCCATTCGTGGGGCTGCTGCACTTGGTCGCAAGACCATCATGTGTTATTTCAGCCTCATAGAGACTCGTGCGATCTACAGGATCTGTGTCGGTATGTCTACTGGGTTATCTCTCGTGGTATGCTTGCTAAGTTGTGATCAGTTTTGCACCCGTCTTACAAACTCGGATACTTCAGGCAGAAGGATTGGCCAGAAGAGGACATCGACACATTGAAGTTGGCGATACAGGATCGCCTGGAATGCTTCTATGCCAGATCGGGCTCTTTGGTGCCTCCTGCTCCCGTGCTCGAGGCTCCTTCCTTTGTTCCCATGCCGGATTTGGTCAGCTACTTCAATCATTCACTCTTCTCGCTCTGATGACCATCCATCTAGCAATTGCCCGAAGAGGTCAACCCCTTTGCGCTACCTCCGACCTTAAGTGATCCATCACCGTCCAGCTTACTCTCTTCTTTGCCTTCAGAGTTGGAGGCTGTGTGCACTCTACTTGACAGGTATCTGTCAAGTGTACCTGAGCCTGGTATCGCCAATCCTGTCCAATGGTGATACAAAAGAAGATCAGAGTATGGCCTCCTTGCTCGCATGGCAATGGACTATCTTATGATACCTCGTATGTCCATATTCTTTCTTCTTTTGAGCAGTTGCTGACAGCTTCTCAGCCACCTCGATCGGACCAGAGTGCATGTTCAGTCGTGGCCGCGTGGTCATCAATCATCTTCGCAATCGTTTGAGTGCAGAGATGACGAGGGCTTTCTTGTGCCTCGGCGACTGGAGTTCGCGGGGGTTGCTCGATCTGACAGAGCTCCGCAAAGTAGTGGCGAGGTTTCCAGCGGACATGTCTGAGGAGGAACTGGCTACTTACGACTTCTCGGAAGGATGGGATTCAGTTGTACCCCCTTAACCAGTATATTTAGGAAGTGATTTTGTTCAACCGATATATACTTAATTTAAAAGTGGGCTATTTACATGATTTAAGTGCTCTAGACAAGTATCTAGATCGTACACCTGTCGGGCCTACACCCGTATCTGCCCACGGGTAAACCCATACCTGTGAGTAAGGGTGCAGGTGGAGGGTGGGTGAGGGTGTCGGGTGGCGTGCTGAGCACCCACGGGGACACCCTCGACATACACTACTTATGGTTGCTATACAAGATCTTCATACGCCGATCAACGACGGCATGGTTGTACCTCCCATACGCTTTCCATCAGCAAGTGCCCCGGTAAGTACCGGTCATTCAGTACGCCCAGCAATAACTTACGGTCCCAAGAACAGATGTACCAGTATTACCAGCCCGTGCCCGCACCCACCTACCAGGCCTGATTCAATGTATGAGCGGCCTGCTATTCCACGCCTCATGCACATTCTCTCCCGCCGCAGTGCTGTGCACAATTTCAACGACCAGTGGAGGGTGTCACTCAGTGCCATAAGGCAGGAGGAGTAGGTCGAAGGGCCGTCCAAGGTTTTACATGATACACTTGGCCGACTTATCGGTACCTATGCCCATCTGTTCGATTTGTGACCCACTTGTACTACCATTTGCCTTCGCTCATTCTATCCCGTTCATTATCCGCTCTGATGGTCCTGTCACCCATATACTTCATATTATCTACACTCAATATCTTTGCTCGTTGCGTCCTGGGCGGTTAGCGTGTGTTCCGAATAAATCCCTACCATGCTTACTACACAAAATATATCCAATCACTGCATCCCAAAACAAACACGGGAAAAGAAGTCACCAGGGGTAGGCCTAGAATGGCCATCAAGAATCATCAAGGATGATAGAAGCGTGATTGAAGAAGCTCAAGTTGTAAAAGGAAGGTATAAGGTCTGGTGATTCAATGTAGAGCAAGTGCGCTACACATTTCCCCACTCATTGCCACCATGGCAGTCGAGTATATCTCGTACAAGAACTACTTCAGCCTGCACATCCATGACCGGTACCCCGGGCGGGACCTCTTCATCAAATTCGACATCAATGCACTACCACTATGCCTGCTTCCTCCTCTATGCTTTGCAGCCGACACGAACTGCAGGCTGTACCCAGGACATCTGCTTATCGCAGGGCAGTATCAGATGCTTAAGTTGCCTGCATACTCTGTTATTCAATACAACTCAGGCGACGAGCCACCCATCCTGTGTGTACCCGACGATGGGAACGTCTGGGTCAATTACGACCTACTCCATCCAATCAATGCTTATCCCCACTACGAGTGGGCTTGCAAGACAAACAAGCCATCCGATTGGCTTACTCTCTGTCAGTACATCAACTGCTACAAGACAGCTCCTATGAACTATCCAGTCCTATGGACTCCCATGCTTTCGGCCTGTGTCGTTTGTCCTGGTGCAATAGCAGAACTCATTCATTTCGCCTTGGGCTATCGCTTCTATGTAGTGCTCACAGAACTGGTATCGTCGGATCCCCGCATGACGCTGTTCCGTGCGTGTCTTCTGGGCACTATGGAGTACAGTACACATTATGTTCATCAGACATGATCTGCAACTGACAATCCTCAAGCATGCATTTGCCTGGTTGAGGTTGCGTCCATACTTGTCTGCAAAGACATTCACGTACAGTCAAATAAGCAGACCAACAACACAACGGAAGCGCGCAACGAAAACATTTTGGCGCTAATTACTCAGGACAACTGTATTCTATGCCCCCCGGAAGCTATGTCTTCAGCAATACTGGAGAATTATCTCCCCATACCAGGAGACATGATCGGTATGTCTACCAAATATCCCAGAAATCTAGTTAAATTGTTCTGACAGACATATAGCGTAGCAAGTGATTGGATAGGTGTTGGACTTTGTGTTTAGAGAATTGTCTAGCTGCATTCAGTATATCGTATAGGGAGTGGATGTACTTGCCTTAGCAATAAGACTCAGTACCCCAAATACCCCTGAAAGAGATGCAACTATACCATATTTTCCCTGTTAGGAACTCTCGATTGGGGCTAGTAGCCAATTGAGTACATCAATTGTACTGTGATCAATGCACAGCGACCCCCAAACGTGAGCAGTAGGAGACCCTGGAACCTTAACTTGGGATGCACAGTCTCTAGCTGCCTTCTTTGGTAAGAAAGATTCCATTCAGAAGGACCCCGAACTGTGTGCACAGTCCATGCCAGCTGTTATGCACCTTGAAACGAGGGTGGAAGGCAACCATTTGCCAAGGAATGGTTGCACAGTCAAGGCACAGCAACCCCAACTGTGCAACACGAGAAGCATCTTCCGAACAAGGAAATGCACAGTCGAGCACAGCCATGCAAAGTCAATGCACAGTTCAAGCACAGTCGATAGAAGGATTCTGGGGTTCGAATTGTAGAGTACCTTCCTGTAGGCTGCACACATGTATGTATTAGTAATCAGGGCTGCCCAAGGATATATAAGGGCTGCCCAGCAGCACCCCAATGCCCCAGGTCACTTAGAATCGAAGTGGTGATTTAAAGTCATCCATCTACACACCTCCCTTGGCACTGTGATAGCAGGAGCGCCACTCACTACTCACAGTGTTTATATTGCTCCAGGCATAAGGTAAGACCTAGGAGATATAGAGTGCCATTGTAAGTGTTTCAGAGTATCTATCATTTGTTTGCCTAGCATCCAGAAATTTCAGCGTGCGCTTGTGCTAGAGGTATTGTTTAGTCTGTTCCAGCATCCAGATAGTGCAGCATGCACTAGTGCTGAGGAAAGTATCCGCGTTTAGGTACAGGAAGTACTAGAGAATTGAAATAGTTAGCATCCAGATAGCGCAGCGAGCG